AGAGAGATAGATAGATAGATAGATAGATAGATAGAGAGAGAGAGAGAGAGAGAGAGAGAGAGAGAGAGAGAGAATGAACTATCCCCGAGTGCATTATCTTTGATGATACATGTATCAAACTTCTACTATGCTACCTCCCCCGCACCCCCCTCCTGAAAGAAGAACAACAAAAAACAGCCTACCCCGCCTTTCTCCCCATTTCATCCCTACCATGGTACCGAATAAAAATAAAGTGTTTTTACGCCTTCGTCGACACAATTTAGATGATTTAGGGGACAGGCTTCGATCCTGTCTGTCAGGACCAACCCAGGTTGAGAGGGGTACGCACTACGTCCCAGGAGAGAAACCGAGATAGAATTAATGTTCGCCGAACGGGAATTGAACTCAAGACATCTACCTTCGACGGCGGAGTGCCTTACAGCTACACCACAGAGGCCAGTGCCACAGAATAGTCTAGCTCTGCTGAGCAATCAACTAACACGCGTATTGTGTACAAAAGCACACAAGTTTGATAAACATGCCGACAAAAAAAAGCGACCATTTTGGAAATAAAGCACGCAGAGATCTAGATCTCGTGGGGACCGGATCATACCGCCTTCACCTGAGTCACAGTCACACGGATGTCCGTCTGGCGACGTCGATTCTTCGGATCGCAAGTCCAACCGTCGAGGAACCGTGACGAATGAGCCCCAGCCACGAGGCGACCAACACTTGATAAATAACCGCCCGGACACTGGGCGACGATCTTCCGACTTCAGCGAAGTGCAGTCAGGCTGTGCGTCCTGGTCGACCTGTGGGGCTGTCAACATACTTTGAGTTTGAGCAGGAGGGAGAGGCGAGCTAGAGAGTTGGTTGTTCCTTGTGTAGTTCATTATAAAAACAAAGCTGACAGGCAATCTTGTGACACACAGGCATACCTCTCTTGTCTGCAGCCGACCAGCCAGGAGAAGGCGAGCGACCATGGCGAGCCAGCTGTCGATGTCCGAGTCGTTCCAGGCCTCCGCCATCTTCAACGAGCAGCTCAACAAGCAGTTCCCCCAGCCAGCCACGCCCACCCCGGAGAAACGCGTACGGCTCGTGGTTCAAGTTCTACTGGTGGCCGCTCTGTTTTGTGGCTGAACCTTAGCTTCGAAAGTCCTTTTAACTTCCATTACCGTGTTGAAAAGGGGGTAAATTTGTAATGTCATATCTCTAATTTGAAAAGGTTGCTGGTCTCGTGCAGCCACTAGAGCTCAGAGAGTAACTGGCTCTAAGATCTTCACCTCACAGTGCACTTGATTCTTGGCCTTTTCATCTAGCTACATTTTACATAACATTACCCCTTGACTAGCAACCAGTCTCTCGCCGTTTTCAAAGAATTCTCTTAATACTTATACCTATTGGAGTGGAGGGTAAGACCTTCCAGGAAAAACATAAAGACCCAATTATAAGCTGTTTCAGAGTACATTTTATTGAATTTTGTAGGGAAACAGTATAAGAGTTACAATGACGGTGATGAGGTTTACCAACGCCATAGCGTTAAACAATCCAAACCAGCCGAAGGCGTCTAGGAGGTAGCCAGAGGTCCAAGCGACAAACAGACTTGCACAAATTCCAGACGTCAAGATCAGTCCATATATGGTTGTGAAGTGTTTACTTCCGAAGCACTGATAGGCTGAGACGAACATAACGCCATACATACCACATGTAGCTCCGCCCACAAGGCATGTCCAAATAAGGTAAAGCCAGCGACTTGCGTACGGCGTGAAATACCACAGTGTCGAAGTGATAGAGCATGCGCCGCACACTAGAAGCATGGAGATCTTAGCACCCAGTTTGTCGACCGTTGCACCCCAGACCAGGCGCATTAGAAATACGAAGATACACAAAGTTATCCCAACTGCCGTGAGGAAATGGTCGTCCTTGATGACGCTCTGCCCAAAGATTTTGTAGAAGGCGTCTTGGGTGACGTACAGACATTCAATGGATCCTACACCGAGCCACAGGATGTAAAACTCCTTCATTCGCAGCGCCTCCGACACCGTTACGCTACCATGTTCTTCAGGGGAAGTAACCGTTCTGCTATCATCTTCATCTTTCCGTGATAAGCTGGGGTTACTCCCCTCAGACATTCTCATATTGATTTGATCTTCTTTTTTAACAACAGTTTTGTCAGAACTTTGAGAGTAACTGTTCTGCCCAAAAGAACCTTTGCCATTGTGTTTGTCATCTTGGACGGTTTCCTCGCTATAAGGTACACCGTTTCCTTTACTTGACAGGTCATGAGACCCATCCGCCTTCAATAACGGAGGAAAATGATTTACATCCTTTTTACCATTGCCAACTTCGATATCCTTGTAATTTTCACAACCTTTAATAAATCCACGTGGGGTATGACTCATGCGTTCCTTCTCATCTTCTCTGGCAGGTTCAGAATTTTTTTGCTGCGCCACATTCTTAGCATTCGTGACAGTTTCCTCATCTTCTTCTCTTGGTTCGCTCATCAAACAAAATGCCGTCATTTGGAAAGCCAACATAGTTGCAGAAAGAACCAAAAATGTCGAAGGGACTCTGAAAAAAGGAAGGTTATCTTTAGCATGTCATCGAGATCCTCTAGTAATTTGTTTTTGTCATAGTCTTGTTGCAATTATTTTGATACCAAATCGAGAGCACATCTGTACACAATAAAAGGCTGACAGAAAGAAAGCTATTGCAAACATCTCCTATTGTGTTTTGTTGACTCACATAAAACCACCATCTGCGGTGCAGTGGTAAGGTGCTTCGCCTCGCTCGCAGAGGACCAAAGATCGAAACCCATGCGGAGAGAATATTGAGTACCTTGGCTTTTTACGCTAGGGCGTTGTATTCTTCTAAGTCTGGGTTTACCCTGGCAGCTGGGGGATATCGCACAGCCTAAATGATCTAAATCATTGCGTGGGTGAGGGCGTTAAGTCTACACTAAAAATACACATATTATAAACGCAGGACACTGTGAGAAAAGTGTATACCGTTTGGTTTTCATACTATTAAGCATTTACTCTGTTCTTGGCCGGCAAACTGCGGTTGAATAGATATCCGAGTTTGACTCTGTGCCACCTTTTGTCATCTTTCCTCGTCGGTTATTTAGTGTCATGATGAAAGAGTTCGCTAACACTGCTGACTCTAGGGTCCAGTAGGGAGAACAAGAACCCACTTTATATTATATGAGGGGACAGCTCAGCTAACTAGCTGACAAAGCACTTTGTTCCCTACCTCATACCATGTAGATCACTGACAAGTCGAAGCCTATAGTCCCAAACAATCTCTCTCTCTCTCTCTCTCTCTCTCTCTCTCTCTC